CTTTCATTATTTAATAAAAAAAAGTTTTATCTTATCTTATCCCGTTAGTATAGAAAGTCCCTTTAGTCTAGATTTTTAGTTTATTGAAGGACCTTTTTGTCTGATTTTAAAAATATACCTTAAATTGTAAAAATATTGGAATAAGCTCTCGCCGCGATATAGCATTTTTGTGCTAATGCAGCGTAAAGCAAACAACAATCAATAGAAAGTCCCTGGATTAACTTAAAATGGTCATTCATTCTCTCTCATTGATTATCCAAGTTTATCTAATCACTTGACTATGCACCAATACCCTAAAATCTCATTACACAAGGACACCTGTGGTACAGCAAGGATTCGTATATATAAAATTTAGTTCGTTGTACGTTCATGGATATTCATGACATGTGACCATTTGTGTGCACTTAGAACTTGACGGTCATCTTTCTGACCATCGATCAGATCGTGCAAGGGCTGTTTCGCCAGTCAAGGTCCTTTCAAAATTCCATATATGTATCTGAACATCTACTCGCGCTTTAGCCTAAAGAAAAGACACGTGTATTCTCGGATGACGTAAGGAGAATTAGTATTTGTAATTATGATATTGTTATTATATATAAAAAAAGAAGATGTGGTATGATTGGCAATGAGACAACTCTCCACAAGAGACCAAAAATGACACAGAAATTAACAACTATAGGTCGCCGTACGGCCTTCAACAATGAGCAAAGCCCATACCGCATTGTCAGCTCTAAAAGACCCCGACATGTTCATATTAATGATCCACTCTTTGAAACCTAACCTTAGTATGACGAAAGTGCTATATATAACGAAAACAGCGGAGAAATGGATTAAATAGACTTGCTTTATTGTATAAACTAAAAAAAGGTCGGAGTGGAACTAACCCCGAAAAATTCAGTCTCTCTCCGTAATCGATCTCTTCTATATACTTGTTAATGAAATAATCGTAGATCAGCGGAATATAACGACTGAATTATTCGGGTAAGTGAAACAAGTAAATAAAAGTCAAAATTAACCATATGTAGTTCCATAAGGAGGGATCTGGACAGCCTGCCCCTAAATCAGCCTCCGAGTTGAGTCATACGTATTGACCTTTCTTGGCGCACACACGGTTTTCATTGCCTATGTGTTTTTTTTTTGTACAAATAAATAATTTGATAATTAATATGCCTTCAATCCATTTTCTTGAGACATATTACACGTACATGAATCATGAATTTTCTACGTTTTTATAATTTTGAACACATAGTATGCCCTGGGATCTGACAAGAAATATACATGAAACATTGAAAATTCACGATAGTAAGGTATATAGGAGCAACATTTAAATTCAAAGGGTTAGGGGTTTGTTCTGAGTCGGAAATAATTCGGAACACAACGTTATTCCCCACTGCCATGCACCAAACATTTTTTTCTTGAAATAAACGGTATGGGGAATTCTGGAATTCCGATTTTTTTTGTCAACTGCCAGACCACAATATTTTTTTCTCTCATCAAATTGGGGATCAGAATAGGCCTCCAGATTTCTTTTGGAAAATTTGGTGTTCACCCCAAGAACCGGGTTGGCCACAACATAACAATTTCAATTTTATTTACAATTTACACGGTGTGCATATGTTTAAGTATGTTTAAATGAAGATATTTGCATATAGTTTAGGACTTTATTCATTATAGGTTGAAAAATACAGGCAAAGTTCAGATGTTTATGAAGTGTTATATATTTTGACTTTTGTGAAACTTAAACAGAATAGACAATTGGGGCAAATCTGATGAAAAAAAAAAACTAAAATTCCTAGTAACAAAAAATTAACCCACATAACAGCAATTGAAATCTCCTCCCCAAGAAATTGTACCTCAGGACCTGTATAATGCTGGAAGTATTTTAATATGCCTTTGGAACACCCTTTTAAAAAATTGGGTATGGTTCTCCAGGCCACGGCTTAGGTAGCACTTCACAGTTAGAAAATAAAATTAAAATTGAGCCACAGAATGTCTGATAATCTTCCAATCCTGGCCTTCAAATACATTAGGCCAACTGTACTAGCACCCCCTTTTTTCTGAGAAACCCTGGCTAGCACAACCTTCCTTTTTTCACAGTGTCTGGATCCGCCCCTGACCGATACGTAGTACTCAACTATGATCAACTGTAGGTCATAATAAAGGACGAAATACGTAACGTAAATTAATTCAAGCGTGAGGGGCCCCCATATATCACGGCTAAAATTGTACTTAGTTTGTCCTTTTATACAACCTTTTGGCAAGTACCACCATCCCAGAAATGAGTTACCACGATCTTTCAAAATTAACATGAACAGTAACCATCATCAACGTCCTTTTTTTTTCACTCTCTCTATTTTCTAAGTAATGTACAACTGTTTACGCTTGTCAGTAGTGTTTATCATTGTTTTCATTAGTTTACAAGTTGTGACCTTCGAAATTGTTTTATTCAATGTTCCTATAGATTTTTATGGTAACTCCCTGTGCCCCTAAAAAACAAACAAAATAAAGTTTCCCTCCCACAAAATTTTACACTTAACGTTGATTTGAAAAAAAAACTTGATTTTATAATTTTGGTTATCAATTGAAATGAACCTTCTAGAGCCTCAACCTAACGCGCACAATAATGTCAATCATTACACATCAAATTTAACACTAAATTGACATTCCACAATAGTAACATCACCTGTGTTTATAGCTACATGATATTTCCCGCCGTTGGAAAATCTCGTGCAGTGACACAATTGATAAAATCTATTTTTAACATCTCTATTGTGAGCGAAATTTTTGACGTGCATTATTTCATTATTAAAAATGTTCGATCTACATTTGTTTCAGTCTAAAATTTAATTAAAAGAAACGTAATATCATTTCTTTTTCTTTGGCAATTATAGTAAATTAATCTCATCCCGGAATGTATATTCACTTTACCATTAGACCTGAAAGTGATTTCTAATAAATGAAGAAACTGTGTTTCACATTAAAAAATTTAAGAATATTATCGCTCAGGCATATTTATTTTATTTTAAGATGATTGATTGTTGGTTGCTTAACTTCCAGTGGCAAATATTCCATGCAAGTCCGGACAAACTTAGTTTTAAGATCGCACTTTCAAAAATCATTGTAAAACAAAAATGATCAGAAGAACTTTTATTCATAAGAAATAACCGTCCAATCTTTTAAAAAGAACTTATTTACATTTCAAAGTGTAACAGAATAGTTTACAAGACAGGCATTGACGTTAAATATACAATTCCTTGTATCATAGATATAATGGCTATTATATCTATGCTTGTATACATGTACGCAACTTTCATATCTTTTAAATTGAACTTTTTTGTCTAAAAAGACAACCCACGAGTTTGCGAAATCGAGTTTGAATGCACTGCATTGTGTGTAAATACATATACATATTATCAGAGACATATATACACAGAGATTGGCAACTCCGTGAAATCCCGTTAAAAAACGCGGCCCGGAATGAGATTATCGTCGATAATTATTCTACAACATGTAGACAAGTCAGGGATGAATAACCTCGATAGCTAATCAAGCAAAGTAATAGGAAAACTTATTTCAGATCAAATAAATTCTTTTTCTAAAAAACTACTTGAAATAGTTGTATTTTTTTTAATGTATTTGATTGAGAAAATATTTTTTTCTTTTTTTCGGCATTTCTTTTAATTTAAAAAGTAAAATCTGGTAATGATCATGATATTACAAGAAACATTTCTTTGCTAAAGTTTGCTTCTAAATTACACAGTGAAATTATGTGTGTCCGATTTTCCGGTCATTATTTCCTTAGAGTTGTGCCTGTGGATTCACAGGTGTGCGATTACGCAATTTATTGCCCTCCGATCACCTGAATTTTGCCGGAGGTGAAGTTCTAAGTGGATTATTACTTGGTAATTGTTTTTATTGTGTTTGTGTATATATGTCTCTGATATTATGCAACGACGGTCTGACTCTATGTATTACCAGGGTTGCGTTCAATATCGTAGCGGCTACGTAGTGCTATGTAGATTTTTACTATTGAACGTGTAGCTATAGATAAGCTGCTACATAGATATCGATAGCAACTACATAGCCGCTACGTAGCTGCTACGATATTGAACTCAACCCAGTTGACCCCTGATACCAACTAAGGTTACTAAAGACTTTCCCCTGGCCGTTCATTTAATTTTTGTTTCAATAAACGGTTCTAGAAGCAATTAAATGATCTGCGGCCTCTGACATATAATTAAAAAAAGTAACCATCTAATCCCCAGATATATATATAATCTGTTTCTCTCTAAATTTACAGAAACATTATATGATATATTTTTGAAAATTCCTTATATCTCAAATGATTATAGTTACTTTGTTTTTAATTCTGTAAACATCTATATATCATAATTTGTACCACACTACAAGGATCTATTAATAACCGTCGCTCACGCATAACGGATTATACAACGACCTATTAATAACCGTCGCTCACGCATCAGTGATTCTATCAATGACTCAATACACACCAGTTTTATCGGACAAACGGCTAATTCCCGCCGACACGGAAAATCTCCGGATAACATGCAAAATATCCTGTAATACAGCAAATTTACGATGAACCTCTAATTTTTATCCGTTTCGCGGAGATTAGCCAAAAAACACCGGAGTTTTTACAAAAATCGCGGTGATTTTCCAAATAGGTCTGCCAGTGTATACACAATATCCCTCCATTTCATAAGAGAAGTGAAAATATATATATTAGATGGATTTGGCTATTCTTTAGGTCCTTTTTGGTCTTATAGCTCTTCAACTATTTCGGTTCTTATCCATCCTTGGCTTTCAAATATTTGGCTTTGAGCGATCCTCATGAAGGTAAATCCAGAAGAGCGCTTCGAACGCATGAACTTTATAATGTGCTGTTTTCATTTTTTAAATATATGTATGCTATACAAACTAAGGACCTTACAGATAAATAAATGTTTTAAGCATAAAGCATGACTGTAAAAAAAGCAAACCTTTGAACTGTTACTTGTTTTCTATCTTCCTCAAGGTCTGTCACTTTGTTTTCTAAATCTTTTACAGTTCTCTCTGCTACTTCTAAACAAGATTGTGTTTCCTTTAACTCATTTTTAACTCTTCTCAATTCTTCTTCAGTATTCAAGAGCTGAAACATATATAGCAAACAATCTTAATATTTGTTAACAAATAGTTTATAAAAAGAAAAAGTTGTAAATAACATAACTACAAAAAGTCATAATGGGTTCTGTGGAACTCTGTGTCTTGCCTGTGATTCCTGTTGTCAGTGTAAAAGTGTAATGTTGACTTAAAAAGTGATCAATAAAATACAGAATTTAAAAAAAAATCAAACTGTTTCTTTGGATGCTATTTCTTGGTCTTGAAGATTAGCTTCTGTCCAAGTTTCATAACAATCCATCTATCAGAAAAATACTGAAAATGAAAAAATATATTTTCAAATGTTTTTTCAGCCATTATCTCTTAATCACAAAAAAGCTTCAGCCAAATTTTCATAAAATTCTATGAAGGTTTGACAAAGTAATTGATGTGTAACAAACTTTAATCTCAAGACTGTATTTAGTTGTTAACTGTAACAAAACTAAGTCCATTTATAAGTAAAATACAGAAAAATGAAAATAAATATTTTCAAAATTATGCACTGGATACTGTCTTTTTGGTCATCTACAAGCTTCTGTCCAAATTTCATAAAATTCCATGAAGGTTTGAGAAAGTTATTGATATCTAAAAAATTTAACCACAGACTGATCCTAAATGTTAACTGTAAAAAAAACTAGGTCCATTCATAAGTAAAATACGGAAAAATGAAAATAAATGTTTTCAAAAATTTGCTCTGTTTATTGTCTTTTGGTCATAAACAAGCTTCTGTTCAAATTTAATAAAATTCCATGAAGGTTTGACAAAGTTATTGATGACTGAAATAACTTTAATCACAGACTGATTCTTAATGTTAACTTTAAAAAAAAATAAGTCCATTTATCAGTAAAATTTGGAAAAATGAAAATAAATATTTTCTAAATTTGGCTCTGGATACTGTATTTTGGTCATAAAAAAGCTTCTGTCCAAATTTCACAAAATTCCATGATGGTTTGACAAAGATATTGATATCTAATCAACAGCCGACGCCGGAATCTAGGATTGCTATGTCTCGCTTTGGCGACATAAATGTTGCAGGCTCAACATAAAGTAGTTTAAAACAATACAACAGAGCTACGATAACCCATTTACCAAATTTTGTTATATGAAAACAATTGTTCTAATATGATGTTCTTCTCTCGCTTTAGAAACAAAGCAATTTCTCAATTCCAATAGATCATGGGCTGCTTTTGACTAACGTCACAATTGAAATTGCAACGTCAGTTGTAATTTGAACAACGCCAGAGATCAAAATGAACATTTATGTTGGTGTTGCTAGCTAGGAAATTAAATAAAATCATTTTAAAAGTAAGTTAACATCTATTTGTTCATTTTTTATCGTGAAACGGTTGATTTTCTATATCGCTGTGGTATCATCAAATAAAAATGTCTGCCTTTCGAATGTGTATTATAGGTTTGCTTCAAAGTACAAAAGTTCTTAACAGAAATGCACAAAAATGACATTCAAAAGCTAAAATGGCATTTATTTAGTTTACTGCTTTTCAAGTTAGGATATAGTCAAAATTGTCACATTTTGGAATCTAAGTTTACATTCACAAAAAATCAATTGTCATTTCTATACACTGGACAATGCTGAAGGTTTATCATAAATTATTTCAAAATTGTTTGCAATGACTTCAATCAATATATATAGGGTCCTCATTATGCTGCACTTTGTGCATATTTTTTTTTCTCATCTCAACTCATATTCTATTTGAATTCTTGTTGAATTTTTAGGTTAAAGAGACTTAATTCCTATCAAAGATAAGGAAGAAATTTGAACACCAGACTTGTGGCAAAAAGTCCCATCTTCATTTCCAGTTTTAAGATTTAAGTTCCTTTAGAGAATGATTTTACACCAGCTGTAGATGTGTAAACAAGGTTTAGAAATTCTGAATTAGGAACATAAGAGTCTCAAAGGTTTGGCAATCAAATCTTTAAATCCTTTTCTGTACTGCTTCCATGCTTTTTATTATTATTGTATATTAACTGCACAATGAAAATAACATTAACACTTCATAAATTGTATGCTTCCCAAACTTTTCTGGATTTTTGTCTTCAGTAATGCTTAAAGCCAAAAATTTGAAAGGCAATGATGCATAAGTAGCAAAACACAATGAAGAGCTATAGGACCAAAAGGGTCCTAAAAATAATAGCCAAATCCATCACCTTTAATTCCTTTAGAGAATAATTGTTCATCAAATTTCCCTGAGAAAGTTGGAACCTTAGTTTCATAATAATTTTTTATTCTATCAACAGAGAATTTAAGAAAGTATGTTGTAAATCATGTTAGTACTGAAGCACTCACTACTCAGCTAATGATACCCTCTGGGACAAATAGATCGCCAGCAAGAGGAATGCTCCAGTGCTAGTGAATGAAATAATACTTTAACAAGAATGTGTCCATAGTACACGGATGCCCCACTCGCACTACCATTTTCTATGTTCATTGGACCGTGAAATTGGGGTAAAAACTCTAATTTGGCATTAAAATTAGAAAGATCATATCATAGGAAACATGTGTACTAAGTTTCTAGTTGATTGGACTTCAACTTCATCAAAAACTACCTTGACCAAAAACTTTAACCTGAAGCGGGACAGACGTATTTTCTATTTTCAGTGGACCGTGAAACTGGGGTCAAAACTCTAATTTGGCATTAAAATTAGAAAGATCATATCATAGGAAACATGTGTACAAAGTTTCAAGTTGATTGGACTTCAACTTCATCAAAAACTACCTTGACCAAAAACTTTAACCTGAAGCGGGACAGACAGACGGAGAACGAAACAACGCAGAGACCAAAAAACATGATGCCCCTTGGTTGGGCATAAAAATTGTATGCATTCCAAAGAGTGTTAATGGATTTACCTTCATCAGAAAGGGTCAAAGCCAAAAAAGGTCAAATATGCAATAAAGTTTATGATTAAGATATATAAAGATTTCAACCAAAATATATACAGATTTTTAAAATTTTGATCAATGTTTTTATATTTTTGATTTTATGGTTTTAAGGTTTACTTCCTTTATATCATTAGTTGGTACTATTATAAACAATCAGGTTTCAGAGTTTTGAAATTTGCTTAAGGTCTGTTTAAATGACTGACAATATAAGAAAGTTTGTGAGATGAATTCCTTATGCATTTTAGGTTTTCAGGGATTTGATTTTTTTTTTAAATTCATATTTATTGTTACATCTGAATTAACTTCTTTTAATTCTGAGGTTAATAATAGGAAAAAAACATTTTTCAATTTCTTCATTTTGGAGAATGGTCATCTCCCATTTGCAGTTCCCCTAAACCAATGAGTAGAATTTTAAAAATAATCTTCTATTAGTGTTATCACCTTCTTTTCTATCTATTTCTATGGAAAGATTCTTGACATTTCCTGTAGTAATGAACGGACTATGCATTTTTTGCCTACAGAATATTCAACATTCCTTGTTTTTCTTAGCGACAATTAAAGTGGTTTATAAACTTCTTTTTTAATTTTCAATGTGGCACAGTCTATCTACTACAGAGGTCAACATTATTAAGAGTATTTACCAAATGTTTGACCTTGGCCAGCTCTTGTGTTGCCAGTCCTTGTAGTTCTTCTTTTTCTTCCTCTTGTTTATACAATTTATCTTTGTATTCCTCATATTCTGTTATTTTTGCCCATAAATCATCTTTTTCCTGAAAAGAAACTTATCATTGAAACATAAGGAAATAGTTGAATTAATATTTCTGGAGTTTAGTTTGAAATAAAGCTTTTCATATTGTTGCAGGTTTTGATGTAACATCTATGTGAACTTGTATCTAAAGAATAATCTTATCTATCAATACTATGTTAGTTTTTGTCAAGTGGCTAAAGACTAGTTGCATATAAGAGTTATATACCACATATAAATCATGTATAAGCCCTTACTTGGCTGTTAGAAACAAAGCAAACAAAGGTTGTTTCTATAGTGTTGTTCCGGGAGTTTGAGATGAGATCAAAACCTTTTTCCTCTAAAAATCTAATCAACTAACAAAATAAATAGTGTAATACTACATTTCTTTTTGAATACCTAATAGACAGGTGAACACACAGACATGCTGACTACAATTAATATGTCTGCTGCTGTCCCAAGCATAGAGATAAACATTCTGTCAGTAATTGTATTTGTATGCTGCAACAGACATTTCCTAGTAGAATGTGAACTTTCCTTACAACTTACCTCATCCTTTTTCTGTAGAGCCAGTGTAAATCCTTCAGCCATCTTTGATTGGTTCATCTGATATTGCTCGTTTAATTCTCGTATCTTCTGATCATGACCTGAAAATATGAATACAAAGTTTATTTCAGGTACATATGCAGGTTAATTGATAGAATTAGACCTATCTGAACATTTCTTTTGTTATTCAAGGAATTTAAAATTATTAAATTACCTGGAATACCTCAACTTTCTTTTATTATACCACTTTGAATTATTTACCTGTTAAAGTTATTTATTTATTTTACCCCATTTAACGTAAAATGCAAAATCAGTGAAGTGGATGAAAACTTTGACTTTTTTTCATATTTGGTCTTTTTGTTGAAGAATTCAATGTTAGTATTGACTTTTAGTTAGATGACTATTTTGTGCATAGATTAAAATCTTAAAGATCTTTCTATTGTATATGAACTTATTTCAAATGCTCTAACCACTGTAGATAGATTTGATAAGCAGTATACTATAGTAGGAATTTATCATATCCCATCCTTTTTTATCTTTTTAATCATATCCCTTGGTGGTAGGAATATATCTTATCATTTCCTATGGTGGTAGGATTTATCTTTATATTTCCTTTGTTGGTAGGATTTATCTTTATATTTCCTATGGTGGTAGGATTTATCTTTATATTTCCTTTGTTGGTAGGATTTATCTTTATATTTCCTCTGTTGGTAGGATTTATCTTTATATTTCCTATGGTGGTGGGATTTATCTTTATATTTCCTTTGTTGGTAGGATTTATCTTTATATTTCCTCTGTTGGTAGGATTTATCTTTATATTTCCTCTGTTGGTAGGATTTATCTTTATATTCCCTGTGTTGGTAGGATTTATCTTTATATTTCCTACGGTGGTAGGATTTATCTTTATATTCCCTCTGTTGGTAGGATTTATCTTTATATTTCCTTTAGTGGTAGGATTTATCTTTATATTTCCTTTGTTGGTAGGATTTATCTTTATATTTCCTCTGTTGGTAGGATTTATCTTTATATTTCCTCTGTTGGTAGGATTTATCTTTATATTCCCTCTGTTGGTAGGATTTATCTTTATATTTCCTATGGTGGTAGGATTTATCTTTATATTTCCTCTGTTGGTAGGAATTTATCACACTGCATCCTCTGGTTGCAGCGATTTACAAATACCAATTATCAACCTTTTTTATCATTCAGTCAAATGCTATAGCAGAAAATAAATTATGCACATTGATTTTGGGTGTACAGTGTTAAACAAAATTGGTGGCCTTGATCTTATAGATCCATCACTTATTCAGATACATGCTCTGATGATGGTATCTCATACCAAGTATTGTTTTTTTTCCTCTCAAATAATGACCTGAAACTTCAGAAATTCCAATATGATTAGATACACAACTTCTGATGAGGTACAATAATATCGACTATCAAGATTGAAGTGAAAGTTGGTCAATGTTGTAGATGAGTAAACACTTGTGAAGCATGGCCAGAAAACAAGATTACTATAGCCTTTTACTGATAATATCTGATGGATATAAAAGCCAAAAGTGAAGTCAAATGAAGTAAAAAATTAACCTGCTTCTTGACTCTGTAATGATGATTCAAGCTTTTCAATATTTTTGTTTTTCTCCTTTATTATTGCAGCATATTCTACAAAAGAAAGAATTTGCTAAATTCATAATCGTATATTATAAAGCAAACAATCACTACAAAATAAAAAAGATAATTATAGAATAACTAATCGAAGAATACAAATATAAAAAATATATTCAACAAGTGACCGAACAACACATTAAATCACGAATGCACGTAGCGCATGAGTTAATTATCAGTGTTGTTCGGTCAAAAGTTGAATATTTTTCGATAATTGAATTCTTTGATTATTTATTCTTTTTGATAAATTGACAATGAACTTTTTAATAAAATTAAAGTAGAAAATGTAAGAAACGATATCTTTTTCTACGCATTTACAATTTGATTTCATGCGACGTCATCGACAACACCTATTGTTGAATGACGTCAGAGGAGTGAAATAACCGAGTTTATTTCGCAAGTGAAATTATCGGTTTTTATTTCACTAGGAAATTAACATGGTAATTCATTGCAACCAATGTAATAAAATAATTCATTACTGGTAAAATTGTTTCATTATTTTTATTTATACACTGCAATCTTTAAAAACAAATTATTTTGTAAAACCATTACACATTTATACCTGTGATATATATATATATTTATCACTTATAAAATACATTATGGTATAGTACAAAACAACTTAAAACATATCCTCTTTAAAGAATAATCTTTTATGTTTACTCTAGTAATCATGGTCATAAAGGTTATTTTGAAATAATTGATTGATGTGAAAACTTTCATATTCCAACAAAATACGCTAAAATCATCTCCAGATAAAAAATGTTATCAGCACTTGCAGAACTACATTTGTATTTCACCTTTGTATGAATTCACACTCCTGATTTCATGAAATAGGTTTGTACTGGTACATGTATATACATTTTGGTTTCCATGATGTAAATAAATGAAATAAGACTTGAAATATATTTAATATACAAAAAGACTTAAGAATATTTTTCAAGCACCATCTAAAAGAGAGAAACAATGTTCCTTTATGAATCTTTAAATATACTAGACCATGGTCTTCTGCAATCTCATAAGACTTTTGTCAACCATATGAGACAAAGTAAAACCATTGTAAATTATGGATAGTTTTGAATTGCCTATCACGTCTCTTATACATTGTACTTCTGGAGCTGACAAGAAACTGGAAATGACTAGACTGGCGCTGGCAAGAGAATCGAACTAAACAAGCGATCTGATTATTCAATATAAGAAATTATCTTCCATATAAATATAACTCTGTAAAAAATTCTTTCATCCATAGGCTAATTGCATATTTGGTACATTGTAAATCATGCATTATTTAAAAATAATGCTCTCTATAACACACTAAAATAGGTATATAAGACTGCAACTGAGTCTTAGTTTTGTGGCGAGAACTGGTACTGTACTGAAATGGAGCGTTTGTTACTACCAGTGTTCTAAAAACAAATGAATTTATGTGTAGTTTATTTCTTACCAGTTATTTTTCCTTCAAATTTTTTACATTGTTCTGTTCTTTTAAGCAAGGAAGCAAGAACTTCTTCTCTTGAACCACCCGGATCTCGCAGCTACAAGTATAAACAATGAAATTAACATGCAACTTACTGTAAATGTTAACAACTATTTGCTTAAGTGGAGTTATAAAATAATTTTACTGAAGCATTTTTTTTGCAGGAGTGCAGACTAATGTCTTGTCATTTTGTTGTTAATCACCTCTTGCAAAATATCAATAACTAATCAGACAGATATCAACTAAACTTACATCTTCCCTTGAAGCACCAAATGGTGTTGGGGACTGTAAAGCAGAACTGGAACTATCTGATTCATATCCACGATGATCTTTCCATGAAGGACTTTGCACTGAGTTTCCTACACATTAATATGGAGAGAAAAAAGGATTAGTTAAGGCATAGCGCTATTTCATTCAAAGGTAATTCGCTGGCAAGCAATCTTAAATCACTTTAAACTTTGAACCCAGATCTCAATGACATGTCGATGACCTTAATTATTTATGTTATAAGAAAATTTCTTAGACCTATTCCCATTCTGCAATTTCTGTCAAACAGGTTTCAGTTTAGGTCATGTCCAACAAAATATGACCGTTTCTGGGCACTTGGAATTGACCCTACTTTTGAGACTGAATAGGCATGTACCTTGACCTATAATGGTTTACTTTTATAAATTGTTACTTGGATGGAGAGTTGTCTCATTGGCACTCATACCACATCTTCCTATATCTATGTATGATATGAGTAGTCCAGAACCAATCCTATATATATACAAAACATACTCCTAGTAATTTTGTAATATTCAGCTTCCTGATTTTTTTTTTAATACAAAATAAACTGGAAACTGTCATTGAAAATGTGCACACACTTGCCTCTGAATCTATTTTTATTATGTAAAGGTCATTACACAAGCATCTCTGGAATTTCCAGATGTTATGTCATTCACTAATTACACGGCCTGCATAGGAGCAACTTGTTTGTTGAGAAAGTTTATGTCAAAATTACCATGAAAGGTTTCATGATACAATCTATACAAATTTTATTATATCTTTGAACGATTGTTATATTTAGTGAAGCATTTTTTGTTATTTTCATGTTAGTGTATATGAATTTTGCAGCTAATTGCCCTTTAAAGTAAGAGGTGTATGTTGTGACTTAAAATAAGCAAGAAGATTTACAACTGTTTCAAAAATTTGTTCCATACCTTTCAGAGGACTTAATGTTCTATTTCCGTCACCAGCACCTCCATCCTGCTCCTCTATTTTCTTTTTTAATTTGGCAAACATTACTTCATGTAAATAGGCCTACACAACAGATGAAAATCATATCAGGTAATTACTTAACTGTATAAACTAGAACTGTCCACTAAGCTGCAATAATATCTCTGGCATTGTGGACTGACTTTGAAGTTTCATATTGATACAATAAACAATGAAGGAAGGCAGAATTGTGATGTACAGTTGGGGCAAGTATGGACACAACATTCAAGCTTGATACAGCACTGAATTTGGATTGTAATTAAATATTTGACAGCATAGGTTTCTGACACAGAATGAATGTGGTCTAAGAACTTAAAAAATTTTAATTTACCAATTCAAACCATATTATTATTATTTGCTTTTATATATAAATCAGAAATAACCAATTTAAAATGGAAAATTTTAAAGAAAAAAAAGGGAAAAAAATCCCCCCCCCCCAATTTTTTGAACCCCCTTCTGATTCATCACCCCCAAACTCAATCCCAGCCTTCCCTTTGTGGTATGGTACCTTGCAGTACAATTTCAGAGAGATCCATACACTTGAACACAAGTTATTGTCTGGAAACTAGAAAAATGCTTGTTTTTTGGCCCCAAATTCCTGAACGTTAAGGGCAATTACCCCCAAACTCAATTCCAGCTTTCCCTTTGTGATATGGAACCTTGTAGTACAATTTCATAAAGATCCATACACTTACAAGTTATTGTCATGAAACCAGAAAAATGCTTGTTTTTTGCCCCTTTTTGGCCTCTAATTCCTAAAATTTTGAGGCACTTACCCCCAAAATCAATCCCAGCATTCCCTTTGTGATATGGAACCTTGTGGTACAATTTCAGAGAGATCCATACACTTGAACACAAGTTATTGTCATGAAACTAGAAAAATGCTTGTTTTTTGCCCCTTTTTTGCCCCTAATTCCTAAAATTTGGAGGCAATTACACCCAAAATCAATCCCAGCATTCCCTTTGTGATATGGAACCTTGAGGTACAATGTCGGAGAGATCCATACACTAACACACAAGTTATGTCTGGAAGTTACAAAAATGCTTATTTTTGGCCCCTAATTCCTTAACTGTTGGTACCATAACCCCCAAAATCAATCCCCACCTTCCTTTTGTGGTATTGAACCTTATGGTAAAATTTCATAGAGATCCATCCACTTAAACTAAAGTTAGAGTGCGAAAACCAATGTGTCTTCGGACGACGACGACGCCAACGTCATACCAATATACGACCACAAAATTTGATTGCGGTCGTATAAAAACTCAATGGCCTGGAAATCTTACCCACATGCACATTTACATGTACATACAAGGATCTCACAATGTACAAAGCTTCATGTAGATATGATAAACCATGTAGGAGGAGTTGTTATGAAAAGGGGGACATTTATAATTTGAAACTTGGTATTATGTTAGTTTAATACATGTCCTAGTTTGAAAGGGATCTAATTCTGGATAAACTAAAAAGAATAAAAATTCCTTCACATGGTAATACTTGCTGCATACATGTATCATATTCTTTGATTCTTCAAAATTTGAAGTGAATCAAACAAAGGATTAAGAAGTAGGTTCCAGACAGACAAGCTGATATACCCTATACCTTATATCCTATATACCATCCCCTCCCCCCAAAAAATAACCTTCAACTGCAGGGGTATAGAAATCTTTGTTCACCTGAAATTTTCTAGTTGTTGTGGATAAAATTGTTTCTGCAGTGCCTGTTAATACCAAACTCTGCTGTCTCATGGCTGAATTGTATTTCTGCTTTAAATTTTGCTACCTGCTTTACGAATCATGATGCATGCTTCTACATAATTTCATGCTTACGTCACAGCTGAAGTTTGGTCAATCAGATAATTAGATTGTGTTTTTCTATTTAAATAACAGAGTTGAAGTGGGGACAAATCCTCTGGTTTTACTATATATAATAATACAAATTAAAAAATCATTTTAATTTTTGATGAATAACCAAAAAAAAATTTAAGATTGATTTTGCAAATCTCCTGATGATATTAGTCATGGGTATGAAATATCTTTGTAATATCTTTAACCATTTCATTTTTAAATTGGAGTTAAAAATTGTGAGTACTTCTACGTTAGCGCATCCCATGAAAAGTACGGGAATCTATAGTAAATACTAGTAAATAAGGATAGTAAATACTAGTAAATAAGGATTGGTCGCGCCAAAAAGTTAAAAAGGAAAATAGCCCCCCCAAAAAATAAGGTAAAATGAAAAATTTGAAATTGGACATTTACCTATTATGGTTCAATATCCAAAATCTAAGTACATTGTTAGAATCAGCATATCAAAGAACCCCAAGAATTCAATTTTTTGTAAAATCAAACAAAAGTTTAATTTAGGACCCTTTGGACCTCAATGTGGACCAATTTGATAAAGGAGCCCAAAATCCAAAATCTCTAAATAGATGGTTAGATTCAGCATTTCAAAGAACCCCATAAATTCAATGTTTGTTGAAATCAAACAAAGTTTAATTTTGGACCCTGATTTGGACCAACTTGAAAACTGTGCCCAAAAATTCAAAATTTAAATACAGGTTTAGATTCACCATTTCAAAGAACCCTATATATATTCAATTTATGTTGAAATCAAACAGTTTAATTTTGGACCCCGATTTGGACCAGCTTGAAAACTGGGCTCAAAATCAATAACATGCTACGCTGGGCGCAGCTTGATACGACGGCAGTGGTCGAACCCTGAACAGTTGGGGCAAGTATGGACACAACATTCAAGCTTGATACAGCTATAAATTTGGATTGTGATTAAATATTTGACACAGCATAGGTTTCTGACACAGAATGAATGTGGTCTAAGAACTTAAACAATTTTAATTTACCTATTCAAACCATATCATTATTATTTGCTTTTATATATAAATCAGAAATAACCAATTTAAAATGGAAAATTCTAAAGAAAAAAAAAAAGAAAAAAAAGGAAACCCCCCCCCCCCCCCCCAATTTTTTGAACCCCCTTATGATTCATCCCCCCACACTCAATAACAGCCTCCCTTTGAGGTATGGTACCTTGCAGTACAATTTCAGAGAGATCCATACACTTGAACACAAGTTATTGTCTGGAAACTAGAAAAATGCTTGTTTTTTGGCCCCAAATTCCTAAATGTTTAGGGCATTTACCCCCAAACTCAAACCCAGCTTTCCCTTTGTGATATGGAACCTTGAAGTACAATTTCATAAAGATCCATACACTTTCACACAAGTTATTGTCCTGAAACTAGAAAAATGCTTGTTTTTAGCCCCTTTTTGGCCCCTAATTCCAAAAATTTTGAGGCAATAACCCCCAAAATCAATCCCAGCCTTCCCTTAGTGGTATGGTACCTTGCAGTACAATTTCAGAGAGATCCATACACTTCAACACAAGTTATTGTCTGGAAACTAGAAAAATGCTTGTTTTTGGCCCCTTTTTCCTAAACGTTTTGAGCAATTACCCCCAAACTCAATTCCAGCTTTCCCTTTATAATATGGAACCTTGTAGTACAATTTCAGAAAGATCAATACACTTACACACAAGTTATTGTCATGAAACTAGAAAAATGCTTGTTTTTTGCCCCTTTTTTATCCCCTAATTCCTAAAATTTTGAGGCAATTACCCCCACTAACACACAAGTTATGTCTGGAAGTTACAAAAATGCTTATTTTTGGCCCCTCATTCCTTAACTGTTGGTACCATAACCCCCAAAATCAATCCCAACCTTCCTTTTGTGGTATTGAACCTTATGGTAAAATTTCATAGGGATCCATTCACTTAAACTAAAGTTAGAGTGCGAAAACCGATGTGTCTTTGGACGACGACGACGCCAACGTCATACCAATATACGACCACAAATTTTTTTTGCCGTTGTATAAAAATAAACCTGTCACTCCAATTATAATTTTGTTAGTTGATAATTACCACATGTTTGTTATCTTGATAAAAGGTGGAAATTATTGCATGAATAAATTAATAGTAAATACATTGTCCTAATCCAAATACATATACAAATGTGTATATTTAGTCAATTGTAAAAACCTATCATACAAATTTTGTGTAGTTTTATAGGAAGAATAAAAATACATTATTATCTAATGAAAATGATATTTGCAAATCTGGACCCCCAAACAGGATCAAGTAAAAAATATTTGCAAATTTGATCTACTATCTATCCATATACTTATTAATTACACCATTTCTGTTCAAAGGGAAATAACTCAAAATAAATAAAACTATATACCAATCATCAAATCAATATCTTCAAGCATGACAAAAAAAAGTGCGGAAAACAGATTATTTGAGTGAATTTTCTAAGTTCAAGGACCATAACTCTGCACATAATCATCAGACAAGAACTTAATTCGAACTTGATCTGTAACTTGTCATGATAAAACAATTCACCAAATATCAAAACAATATCTTTAAGCACGAAGATAAAAAGTGTGGAAAACTGATTTGCCGGACTGACGGATGGACAGACAGACAGACAGATGGAGTGCAAACCTAAAGTCCCCTTCGACTTCATCGGTAGGGGACTATTAATCATATAATAAGAATCACTTTTGCTACTGAAAGGTCTACAACTCAAAAACGAGAACAGCTAAAATCGTGAAAATTGAACTTGACCCTCATTTAGTGACAGGAAACAACATATCTCAATTTGAAAAGATTTCATCAAAGGGTTTTCATGTTAATGAACGGACACTGTTTGGCAGTCACCAGCCTGCCGTACATTCCCAAATCAACAACCGATTTTTCTTTCAAAAATCCGGTTAAAAATCAAATTCTCCAGGTCAAGTTTTGTTTAAAAAACTCTTGTTTTAAACAGTTTTTTTAAAATTAAAATTACAAAAACTATTAGAAATATGTCTTGGTAAGTGTACAAAATGTCCACTCTTCCATTACTCAGGTAGGTATATCATGTGATTAAAATTCCATTATCTGTGACCCCTAAGACATGAATTTTCATTAAATACATGATGTCATTCTCAACCACAATGTAAAATCAGCTGCATTTACAAACATTGCAATGAACATATGGAAATGCCATTCATGTTAAAAGATTTGTTTAATATTTGTGAGAGTATCGAGAAAATTATTCAGTGGTGTATTTCATTGGGATTAATGCTAGATTTATCTGGCAAGGTATGTAACAACTGTAGCCATGGACATTTTAGATTAAGAAAAGACAGTTCATTTTCAAACAACATGTTTTATTGGAAATGCAGCAATAAAAAATGCAGTAAAAAAGTTTCTATCAGTAACGGATCCTGGTTTCAAGGACATAATTTAAGTCTTGAAAAGATATTATTTATAACGCTTTTTTGGATTTACAAAATAGACCAAGACTTTGTGAAGCATGAACATTCAATTTGTAATCAAACAATCGTAGATTGGTACAACTATTGCCAAGAAGTCTGCATGAAAATTTTGGAAATATATAGTGAAAAAATAGGTGATAGTGTAGTAAATTTGGAAAAAGAAAATACCACAAAGGACGTCGCGTAGAAGGGCAGTGGGTGTTCACGGTCGGCTGTATTGAAAGACACAGCAAGAAAAATCTTTGCCACAGTGGAAAAGCAGATTGAAGAAACATTATTAAAATTAATAAAAGACAAAATTAAAGAACCTTAGTGAGCGCGCTCACATACCCCACGTCCCCACATTGTCATTGGAAAAATAAAATATGTGTAAGAAAAAAAAATTGTATGAGAAAAAAAAATTGAATCATAATTTCCTGTCAATATGCACATCTACATAGTATGTCCTTATTATCTACAAAGTTTCATGAAATTATGTTGTGTGGTTTCAGAGGAGTTGCTATGCCAAACTGTTGTAGAAGTACATTGAAGCAAATAAGTTCAAAGGGGCGTAACTCCTAGAAAAAAAATTGAATCATAATTTCCTGTTGATATGCACATCTACATAGTATGTCCTTATTATCTACAAAGTTTCATGAAATTCTGTTGTGTGGTTTCAGAGGAGTTGCGATGACCAACTGTTGCAGTAGTACATTGAAGCAATAAGTTCAAAGGGGCGTAACTCCTAGAAAAAAAATTGAACCGTAATTTCCTGTCGATATGCACATCTACATAGTATGTCCTTATTATCTAAAAAGGTTTCATGAAATTCTGTTGTGTGGTATCAGAGGAGTTGCGATGACAAACTGTTGCAGTAGTACATTGAAGCAAATAAGTTCAAAGGGGCGTAACTCCTACAAAAAAAATTGAACTGTAATTTCCTGTCGATATGCACATCTACATAGTATGTCCTTATTATCTAAAAAGGTTTCATGAAATTCTGTTGTGTGGTATCAGAGGAGTTGCGATGACAAACTGTTGCAGTAGTACATTGAAGCAAATAAGTTCAAAGGGGCGTAACTCCTAGAAAAAAAATTGAACCATAATTTCCTGTCGATATGCACATCTACATAGTATGTCCTTATTATCTAAAAAGGTTTCGTGAAATTCTGTTGTGTGGTTTGAGAGGAGTTGCGATGACAAGAAACAGGACTGACGGACGGGTCAAAAACATTATACCCTCCGCAACTCGTTGCGTGGGGTATAATAAAACTGGGAACAACGATAATTAGTGACTGTTGGAAAGCTTATGATTGTTTAGGTTCAGAAGGATTTGAACATTTAAAAGTTAGTCATTCTGTAAATTTTGTTGTCCCAGAAACAGGAGCACATACAAACACCATTGAAAGTACCAGGTGTGACCATAAAAAATTATTACCAAAATACTTAACAGTAAAATCCCTTTAAGATACATATTTTAGTCAATATTGTGTACTAAACAAATATATAATCTGCTCTGATGATCTTTTTATTGCATTAATAAACCTTATTTAAAAAGTGTATAATCCAGAGGAACAAAAAAAGACATTGGTTACAACAGAAATGATCACTAGTATCAGTGAATCTCATCGTGCTAATAACACAATGAATAAAAAACCAGAGTACTGCACGAAATTACAAACACTTTAAAATTCTAGTCTGGATGATTTTCAAGCTTAAAATGGGTAAGTACAGTAAATTTATTTATTTTTTTTCAATTCAAAAAGTTAAATACAATCTTAAAACATCATTTGCATCAATGTCTTTTGAAGCGGTGAAAACAATGGCAGCTATTTATGTTCTTGCATAGCAATGCAATTTGGAGTTATCGGTCATGTGCATAAATTGTGCATTTCCCAACTTTTTGGGTCCACCAAAGCAGATTCTACCCTTTTCTGCTTGTTGTATGTGAATTTTAAAATTTGTCATTACTTTTATTTCTTTCTTAGTTCTAAATTATTATTTATGTGCCATTTTTAAAGTGCTTCTGGTCCATCTTTTGTTATGGTTTAATCTGATTCTTATGTATATTTGTCTTATAATTATTTGAAAATAATATGGGGTCTTATATGTACTAACATAATTTTTTTATGTTTAAGTGTACTTGTCTTAGTTTAATCCTTGTTCAAGTTGTTGAATTGTGATGCTATGTATATATGTTAAAGTAATAGTCGTTTGTAACAGCTTTATTAAGCTCATGTTTATTGCTGATTGTACATATGTGCCGACTCTACATAAAATGTACTTACTTATTACTTACTGTCAAAAGTGTTTGTGCAAAATATATTTTTCAGTTTATTGATTAAAGTAACAGACACAAAGTCTTTACTGTAAATTACTTTTAAATAATTAGATATGTATTTTTGGCCTATCCATACCTAATGGAAATCATCGTAAGCACATAAGGGGATCATTTCTTATTAATCAAACCGGATCGCCAGCTTGGCAAATCTTTACATGTCAGTTATCTTCTCCTATTCTACTTCCGGAATTTTCAAAATTTGACCAGTTACCGATTGACGTATATCATTCTTTACACAACGGACTTAATTTTAAAGGGTCTGGATGGGGTTTACAGAATAGAGAATTATGGTCAAAAAAATAATGAATAGAGAAAAATGAGAACAAAAAAAAATTGAAGAATAGAGAATAATGGGATGCAAAAGAATAAAGAATAACTGTGGAAAATAAAAGAATTAGGTAATAATTAATATACTGATTACAGAAATGAATGATGTACAGAATAGAGAAATATAATCACAGAAAAAAATAACAGTAAAATTATTTTCATTAGTATTGAAAAAAATAAGCGTTATCTTTTAAGATAAAAAAAATGCATAAAAATTTAAAGAATACAAAAATTAAAGACACCTCATCCAGACCCTCAACAGTGGCATTTAAAATTTGATACCAAATATTGTGAATTTGGTATTCATTTCAATATCATGTTAAAAAACAAAGACAGAACTGACAAAAGCGAATTTTAAACAATATACATGTAAAAAAAATGCAGCAATAAATACATTAGTGAACTGTATACAGTTGATTAAAATTATGGTTGCTGCTAGGTAAAAGTTTATATGAACAGTAATGTCCTGAATATGCATTTGATTTGTCGCTGGACGTTGAACAGCCATCCATCATCATTAACAGTACTATTATAGTATTGTTGAAAGTGTTGTGAAACGTTGGCTATTAAGATACTTGCCGTTTATTCGTGCTGTTAATGATATATAGGATCAGTTAACTCGTGTGAATATAGGTCTATCTTTCTAACTTGAAAAAAACTTGATGCCTACTCTATTACTGTATACTGTACATTGATCATTTGAGAACTCTAAGTATTTCTCATTCAGCTGACAAAATCACGCTTTGTGTAAAATCTGTCATATAGTTATCACGGTAGTCCAACCCGAATTGCCCATTTCAACTTCGCTTTACTTATGTCAAGATTTTCTTCAATGGTCTGGAATATGATAATGGTCAAATTTAAAGATAGACGTAACGTAATCGGTCAACGGAAAGTGCGAATCGAGAAAAAGTTTCTTACGTGGAGTAGTGATATTTTCTAATGTAAAATTATAAATGCATATACTCCATGACAAAGATGTTTTCGGCAATGAAAAATATGTTTAATATTAAAAAATATCATTAGATTAAGCCCAGAACTACTTCACCTAACAAACAGGAGAGTTTTATGTATAACTATAAATCAATAGTATCTGAAATCGATTACCACCTGCCTTTCGAGGTCTCTTTAAAGTACATCTGTTAAACGAGAAACAAGGCTAGGTGTCTTTATGGTTATATAAACTGTCAACATATTGTTTAAATACGAACCAAAATTAAGTCCAGAAAAAAGTTTAATAGTTAAATACAGAAAAGTGTATGCTCGTAGACAAATTGTAGTGCTATGTTTTTCCTGTGTAAACATGGTAAATAAATGATTTATATGCTTTATATTTTATTGAAGATGCTGTATTTTTTAATGTAATTACAATATGTTTTTATTGTAACTTATCCGATTATAGTTTTATTTTATATGAGGTATCAGTTTTAGCTCAATGCTTTGAATATTGTTTTTGTTGGTATACATATTGATTTAATTTGTTATCAGTAAATCAAAATCAAACTAAAATATTATTGTTATATATGTTAGCGGCAATAAGTGAAATAAGGCATTAAGCTTAAATCCTAGGCAATGAGCTAACACCTATACAGTAAGTCTATTGCCTAAATAATGTTAGGCATTACTCGTAAATCCTAGGATTTAAACTTAAATCCTGAAAATTATGTCCAGGCATTAATGTTAATGCCTAAAATGAAAATGAGAGTAAATTAAAAGAAATTTATTTAAAATAAATTTTATACATAATAAAGGATTAAGAACTAAAGTTTGAAATTCAATAACATGAAATAACATCTTAAGTAAAATATTGATGTTAAAACACATTGAATATACCTCTTAAAATATATGTAAACTTGTTGGATAGTTGTCTCATTGGAAATCATACTGCATCTCCTTATTTTCATATTGATAGAAAATTGTTTTGAAATTTATTTGTTATCAATTGATGCGGAGCCATGGCACAGACTATTTCACAGTTTTATTTTTGTCTATCATTTGTACCTTGTGATCGTCCAATACCTTTGTGTGGAGCAGAATTCTTTTATATATGGACGAATTTGATTCCAATTGACCACTGTTAATTCATTGTTCCTCGTCCATGCAGTAAGTATGTCATGGATATTTCGGTTTGACCACTCAATACTAACCCGTGATTGTAAATGTATTGGCTTCCCGTGAACAATAACTAGTTCTGGTCACATTAACATTAATTAAGATATAACCTTAGATGTAAATTCACGACCTTTGTCACTTTGCTGTTTATGTGGCACATCAAATATTGTGAAAACATAAACTAATTTAAATTAAAAGCCACTTTTGAAGCACTTTTTGACGTAAGAGCTCTAGAAATATAATTTTTAAGGTGATTTTGGTACACCATAAAAAAAGATAGTTTCCATCTCACTTTGATTGGAAATCGATTAAATCAACCTGTCTTCCTAAATATCGCCATTCACCTCAAAAGCTAACGAAACCTTTAAACAGACTTATTCGGAAAGGATATAGTTACGATACTGTTGTCAAGTCATTAAAGATGGCATATTTTGGTACTAGTATTAATATTGGTTCACTCATAGGGTCTTTGCATCGGAAATAAACACATTTATTCTAAAACCAGTTGTTGGCATGATACGGGTTATGTTCTTCTCATATATTTTATGATGGTATGATACTAAACCCCTAACGGGAGGGATTGTACTTGATTTTCATATGATGAAGACATAATCTTTCAATCAGTTTAATTGAGGTCTGGAGCTGGCATGTCAGTAACTGCTAGTAGTCCTTTGTTCATTTATGTATCATTGTCATTTTGCTTAGTTTCTTTTGTTACCTATTCTGAAATCGGACTCGGACTTCTTTTAAACTGAGTTTTACTGTGCGTATTGCTATGTGTTTCTTTATTCTACATTGGCTAGAGGTATAGGTGGAGGGTTGAGATCTCACAAAACATGTTTAACCCCGCCGCATTTTTGCGCCTGTCCCAAGTCAGGAGCCTCTGGCCTTTGTTAGTCGTGTGTGTGTTTTAATTTAAGTTCATTTATATGTTTTGGAGTTTAGTGTGACGTCCATTTTCACTGAACTAGTACACAATTTTATTTAGGGGCCAGCTGAGGACCACCTCCGGCTGCGGGATTTTCTCGCTGCGTTGAAGACCCATTGGTGGTTTGACTATAATACTCCCTTCCCTATGCACATTTTATCATGTTACAATTTTCACAAAATGGAAGAAATAGTACAATGTAACCATGATAAATGTTTGCAAAGCCATATAGGTTAATTGTTTAATTTTATGGTCTATAATAATAATAGGCCGCTTTGATATATTTCTTTATGCGTTTTTCCCAAAATACCATACAGTTCCTCTAGAAAACATAAACATTGAAATTTCCCTCATTATTCTCTTTTACTTTAGTTACCAGTCTTTCAAACCGCAAATGGTAAAAAAATGTCATACCATTTTAAATTGTTATAGTCTATAATTGCCTTATTTTCTGATTTCGAAAATTTAATCTTTGCCAAATGATCATTGTACTTTTGTCTTGGGTATATGATCATTGTACTTTTGCCTTGGGTATATGATCTTTGTTTTCCCTGATTCAAATTTATATTCCGCAAAGATTCAAGATTTTTTTTTGTTTCTTAAATGCTAATAATCCAGATTAAGAAATGAAAAGACAAGATGGGTATTTAAGAAAAATTACATATCCAATAAAACAGATGGAAAGATGATGTGACTTGCAAAATTTCATATCTGCAGTTGTCTTTTTTGACCAGCTCAAACTGGCTAGACCAGTCCATTGAAGAGCAATACCACAAAGAAATACGAGTAAGTTCTGTTTTGAATACGAAAAAATACTACAAGACGAAGATCTTTTAAATAAGTTTATATTATTTTTTGGAATATAATTTTTTAAATATTGTTCATCAAGAATATTTCACCGAATTAACATGTATTTGGAAGATAAAAAAAAAATCCCAATATTAACTTATTGCCTGAAATGATGTTTGGCAATATGTTGAATAATCATCACCAGATTTCAGGAAATAAGCTTAATGCCTGGAAATTTCAGGCAATAACGTAATGCCTAGGCGTTAGCTTATTGCCTAGGATTTAAGCTTAATGCCTAATTTCACTTATTGCCGCTAACATATACATAATTATGCACATTCATGGCTCTACAATCTGTCGATACCTGTATCTTGGCAATGCACAAGGTCATGTTTTACTCTGACTGTCAATGGCGTCTTGTATGTTGGATGTGTACTGATTAATATTTTAGTCTTATATGCATGATTTTTATATTAATTGTCATTGGCTTTGAACTAACTATCAGCTCTCAGTAACTGCGAGTACTCTCAGATCTGTACTTAGTGGCTTTTTTGTTGTGGGGATGTATAAATACCCTTCCACGTCCGGTCTGTGTCTTTTTTGTTTGTTTTTCTACTTTGTATCGATCTGATGAGTTAAATCCTTTTCAACTGATTTTTATAGTTTGATATTTTGTTCTTATGTTGTACTGTTACACCAGGTTATGCCGGGGGGGATTTGGCGCCAGCAAACTAGTTTAATTCCGCCACATTCTATATGTGCCGGTCCCAAGTCAGGAGTCTGTGATTGAGTGGTTGTCGTTTTTTGCTGTTTCATATTTGTTTTTCGTTTATTGTTTCAGTGCCTAGTTTGGTATTGAGTTGTGCCGTTCCACCACTGTCCCAAGTTAGGGGAGGGTTGGCGCCTTCAAACATGTTTAACCCCACCACATTCTGTATGTGCCTCTCCCAAGTTCGGAGCCTGGTGGAGAGATGTCTCATTGGCAATCTTACCACATCTTCTTATTTTTATATTAACGTAAA